ACTGATAATTATTTCCCACAAGCTGAGAGTGCAGCAAAATTGAGAAGCAGAGTGTTGTGTCGAATGTGAACAACAACAAAATGAAATGATGTGAAGAATTTGTAGAATGTGTGTGTGTGTGCTGGTGTGTGTGTGTTAGCGTGTGCACCTCAGCTGGAACACTTGGAGCAAGCTTGTCTCAAACCAGGAAAACAGGAGAGGAGTTATTTGATTCGAATAGGACATGTTCTCTTCTCAAAACAACCTAATAGAACATAGAGAACAATCCCATCACTCTTCCTTCTACTTCTCCTGTTTACCTTATTCAACATTTTTTCTGTCTCTGTTCAACCTTTGCACTTTATTTGACCCTTTGACTCCATCAACACGATTTAATTGACTGATTCTAAACTTCCTTTTTAATCTTTTTTTTTTTTTACTTTTCCATTGTTCTGTGTATTTTTTTTACTGCTCTTATTGTATCTCTTGGACCTTCAGAAAATGGTGAAAAAGGCTGCTTTTACAAAAGTAGGACTAATTAGCTTTCAACAAAACTGAACAACAATGCTAATGATTTATTCATCGAGTAAGAAATGTTGGTGTTGCATCTCAAGTTTTAAGCATTGCACTACGTATGGATTAATATAGTGCACATTCAACCATCCATTTAAACATCCGCATGAGTCCCAAGGAAACAATGAGAAGAAGGCAACAAAGTGTTTACAACTCAGCTGAGTTAGACAGCAACAGTTGATCAAATCTGCAAGTGAAGGTTGTTATTTCAACAGATTAACTCATGGCTGCTGGCTACAAATGATGCCCACAGCCACCATTTATTAGATAAGCATATACTGTGTGAAAAACTTAAAAACATGGACGGGAACAGAAAAGAAATGGGGAGGGGCATAGGAAATGTCAACAGACTTCAAGTTTTCTCTCTTCACCAGTAATTTGTGTGTAAATGTAAATGCTTTTGCTTTAATGTGTGTTTGCAGGTATAGAAATGTTTATCTGACTTGCTTGTGGACACACACTTCACAAAGCCTGTGTTCCTGCAAGAAGAGCTGCTGCAGGCAGCGTGCTTTTACTTTGTGAGATTGTGTCTCATATGCCCATATGCATCTGCGTATGGATGTGTGCTTTGGTGATTAGGATTGTGCTGGATCATCACATCTCCGACCAGCAAAGATAGTTAGTACTCTTCCTAATGGCCAGATGTTCTCTCGGCATCTGGACACAAACACACATACAGATAAACAACACATGCACATTCTATTGCTCTCTCTCACTCCTTTGTCTCATTTATTCTTTACCAATTTCCCCCTGAATCTCACCTGATGTCCAAAGAAGATTCATTAGAGCAGAATCCCTTCTTTCAATCTGAAAGTCAAGACTTAAAGTCTTCTTATTAGTAACATCATTCCATACCCAAGTACACTTGCATATGTACACATTCTGATACAGCAGGTGGCATACGATGCACATAGTTTGTTTGCAAATCAGTCAAAAAGCAGAGAGACGAATAAGTAACCATAGCAACCACTCACGGACTGAGTCGATCCTTCTAACTGTGGATGTTTTTGTTAATTCTGAGAGGCCAACGACCTTCTTCCTACTTCCACATCGTGCAGCTCAGAGGATGAAACAGCCCCGTGCTGTGCAGATAATACACTTCTTGGTTTGAGCACAGTTGCATTTACAATCTCCTGCGAGTACACATGAATCGTGCCCAAGACCACCTCTTCAAGCGGACTCGGACTCGGGCTCGATACCTGAGTACAGTACGAGTACAGTACGTTTTGTGTTCACACTAATCAAATGAACCAGACTTTGGGTTCAAGCGAACTCGGATCTGGGCCGGGTCCCGAATGTGAAAACACCATTAGTCTGGTCAACACAGAGGCACACACATACAATGAGAACTGTATTGTTTATATTAAAAAAAACAAAAAACGCCTCTTCACATTTAGTGCCCCATCTTTCACCCAGCACAAAGAGCAACAACACACAGTTGTCTTTGCTGGGTGCTTTCTGATATTTATGAAATGAGACATTCAAAGGTGCAGTGGGGTTGTTCTTTTCCATCACTGTGACAAAAGAGAGACTATACCGGGTTGGGTTACCGGTGCGCCTAAAGAGACCAAATAGCAAATTAAAAATAAATAATACATGATGATGATTATTTGTACATAATACATGATGAAATGATTTCTAGCTTTAATCGCATTGTGGTGACATCCCTTATAAAGTCATCAGACCCTAACCCTCAGAACAGTTTTCCACATTGCCTCAGTCAATTTTAAATGACCGAACTGTGAGAAGGCAGCGGAATTTCTGGATCTGGTTTTTATACGGTTTTCTTTGCATGGTAGAGTTTCAGCTTGCAACTAACTGTCTGTAACTGTGTTCACAGATGATGGTTTTAGAAAGTGTACCTGAGCCCATGCAGTGATGTCCACTTCAGAACTGTATGTGTTTTTAATGCAGCGTTTTCTGAGGGCCTAAAGATCATGGCCATCCAATATTGCTTTTTTGGCTCCGCCCCTGCATACAGACATTTCTTTATATTCTCTGAATCTTTTAATTATAGTCTGAAATTTAGCCAATGAAATCACCAGCTTCTTTGCAATCCTATGTTAAAAAAAAAACTTTAATTAATACGTGTTGCACTTTTACAGAGTGGTGAACCCCTCCCCATCTTTACTACAGTAAAGAACTTAGCTTCTCTAGGATGCTTTTTATACTCATCAAATCACTTTACAGTTTGCCAGTGAACCTTTTTAACTCTGAAATGTTCCATTAGTTGTTTTCTTATCATTTCTGGAAACATTTATCAAATGTTTCCAGTATTTGTTGCCATTGTCTCAACTTTTTTGAAACATGTTGTTTTAAATTCAAATTGGGCAAATTATTTTCCAAACACACAAAAAAATCAGTTCCAACATTTGACATGTTATCTTTTCAATCTATTTTCAATCAGATGTGGGATTTCAATGTTTTGTCAATCATCACATTCTGTTTTTATTTACATTTTACAAATAGGGTTGTACAAGGCACATAAGTGAGATGGTGAGAAAGGGTTTTTTATCGAACACAAGACTCTTTTTGTAAAGTGTCCCATCTGTTGATACCAACGGATGAGGAAACACTCAGCTATCTCCTCAACCTGGCTTCAACGCAAGAGAGATTCCTGCTAATGGCCTGCATGGACCAAAAACTCCAGACGAGACCAACCTCAAGCTCTCCATCATGTTACTTACGCTGATGCCTGCTCTCTCTAGTACATGCTTAAATACAAGCCCTAAACCCAGTCTAACAAAACCAAGAGCTGGATTTATCATATTATAATCCTCAAAGCATAACGTAAGTATATGCTTGTGTTGATAAGTGAGGCATCTGAAAACAACCACTACTGAAATACCACACCCATATCGAGTCGAGTCGAGTTTACGACATGGAGGTACGTAATGTGGCACAGAAGAGAAACTGCTATGACCTGTAGAGTGACACCATAACAACAGAAGGAGGGAAGAACAAAGTTGTGTTGTTTGGCAGCCTGAAAAGTGGAATTAAACGCCTGTGAGGAAATCTCTGCTGCAGTCAGCAGCATTGGTGTGGACAATCAAACTCCAGCAGCCGTTTAATTACGTGCACAGAGATCGTAGTGGTCGTGTGCGGACACTCTATGCATCGTGCAGCAGTAACAGTATGGAAATGTCACTCCCCCCTCCTATTGGCTCGAGGTGAATTCTCCGGATATATCCTGCGGCGTTCTCACATCAGCTCAATCGGACTCGCTGCAGATAAATGACTAGAGGTCTGGCAGGAGAAACTCCGGGTGAAGTCCGAGCGAAAAATGTGGCTGTTTGCGTTCACACATACAACTCTCCTCTGGGAAATATCAGGAGTTTTTGAGGAGATTTCTGCTAGTGTGAACGCCCTATTGGATAAAGACTCAGCTTGCAATCAGCAGAATCATATTACAGCTGATTCAATGTAAACCAGTGAAAGAGGTTCAAATACATACAGAGGTTACAAATTGAAGGTGCATCTTTCTAAAACAGAGACAGGTTTATATTTTAGGTATTTAAAGTTCCAAAATTCAATCATCCAGTTTATTGCTATGCTATACTGGTAATCTGTTGTCCACTGTCTTTAGAACAGATATGTTGTTAAGTCATCTTTTCATTGATAGTAACTGACACCAAGAGAGCTAAAGTTAAAGCTAAAGCTTCAAGTTACTTCCAGCTAACTTAAAGTTGCTGAAACTTCCTAAGACACATAAATATGACAGTCTTGGCTACACATTTCAATCTGACTCAGACTGACAGCTGTCCAATTATTAACCAATAGCCTGTGTCAGGGCTGGAAGGGGGACTCACAAAGACACAAAGAATCTCCTCAACATCAGAGCTTATAAATGTTACAAAAAGGACTACGCTTAGATGACTCCTAAAGAGAAAACGCTAGGAAGTTACCACACTCTTGAGACTAAAATAAGGAAGCTCTGGGTGGCCTAAGGAAAACCAACTGGCCCACTAAGCATGTGGCTGTGTCTGTGTTTTTGCTGGAACATGTTTTCAAGATGATGCAGGATCTGTAGCCGCTGTGAGGGTAAATGGTAAATAGATTTGATCTTTTATTGTGCAACATAGTTAAGGCTTGTGTAGTTGCTTTTAACACAGCATGTCACATTCACCCATTGACAAATTGATGGCAGAGGCTGCTCTGTAAAGTTTCATCAGTATTAATTAATCCCCTTCACACGCATTCACACACCAGTTGACGTAGCAGCAGGAGCAATTTGGGGTTCAGTGTCTTGCCCAAGGATACTCGAAAACCTCCAAGTGACTCTAATACTGAGCCACAGCCATGATGTACTGCAATTTGTTCTTTTACCTTTAAGGTTTTACTTAGGGGGTTGATGACATGAAAGATTGTAAAGAACATGCACCACGCACGCACGCACGCACGCACGCACGCACGCACGCACACACGCACACACACACACGCACACTTACTTTGTGTGGTAGGAAGAGGGAGTTGACTGCTTCTAAAAGACCTGTGGTGTCTGGGGCATCCCTCTGGCCACAGATTACAATCTAGAAACAAAAGTGGAGATAGGTAAGAGGATGGAAAATATGAAGGAAAAGGAAGAAGGATGAAGATAAAGAAATTACAATGTGGACAGAATGATTAGAGGGAAATGATAAGTAGATAAATAAGATGAGAAAGGTAATGCATAAGAGGGGTGGTGAGTGGGATGAAGTGGTAAAGGTCAGTACTGTATTTGTAGCTGTAATAAGGGAGGCAGGTGTTTTCCCTGTGACTGCCTCACCTCCCCTCCCCCCCCTAAGCTTGTTACCCTCGACCTCCAGCTTCAACTCCCCCGCAGGTCGTATCTGACTGACAGAAGGCTAACTATTCACCTTCTATCTCAGGTTCTAATCCTGTTCCTTTAACTTATGTTCTTCTGTTTGTGCAGAACATACCTTCATACTAAAAGTTTTCTTAGAGTGGCCAAAATAACTTTTGGGTATCATCTGGTATGCAGGTACAGTATGATTGTTTGAGGCTATCTGAGGGAGTTGAGTCAAAATAAATGTTTCACCTAACAACTCAAATAACATCTTGTGTGCATGCTGACTGTGAAATAAAGGCTTTCAGCTTTTTTTCTTTAGATTTAAGGTGCAATGTATGCAGAGTGCTGAGTGCCGGTGAAAGCACGGACACTACAGCAGCAGGCTCAAGGGGCTTTCCTGAATCTGTGGTGAGAGCATATACTGTAATTATTAAGGTTGATAGCTGGAGTTATATGAAACCCCCTGAACAGCCAATCAGAGTGATTCCTCTCACCAACCATGCCGACAGATCGACGCCGATTCGACATGTGGAATTGGCCGAAAGTAAGGCCAACAGGGGCCCACAGGTAGCGACGGAGCCGGGCACACAGCAAAAACTAGGGCGACGATCTCTCACCAATGGTCCTACTAGGACCGAGGGCTGATGATCTTCTTGGTGTGTCAGGGCCTTAACAACCAAGGTTTTTTTCTTTGCTTGGTGTAAAAACTCAAAGACAGGCTCTCTGACCATAACAACTTGATAATGCTGTTGATATGAATCAAAAACTAGGGTTGCACTAGTCAGCAGAAAGGCAAGATATCCACCTAATTAGCAGAAATATAGTGTCTTATACGTCCTCTCCATTAGAACACTATTGATTTGAAGCATCTGGAGGCTTCAACGGTGAACACAGAGTATTAAGAAAATGGCTGTTTTGCATTCACTAGCATGTACTCATCATGTCGAATAAGTGTAAAAGTAGATGTAAGAATTACCTGTTTAAGTGTGTAGTGCTGTGCCATTAGAGCCCTGACCATTTCCGGCAGTGCTATGGGGACCCGGGTCAGACGGTCTGAGAAGGCTGCTAGCAGCTGTTGGGACCTCTGGAGCCACTCCTGTCTTCCAGTATAGTGAGACAGACGCAAGAGGTTGAATGCCGACACAGAGTTACCACTGGGCTCAGCTCCATCCTGATCTGAAACACACAAAAAGATTTATAACAAAAAAAAATCAATACACCTTTATTTGTATAGTGCCAATTCAAAGACAATGTAAAGACTCTTTTCAAGGTCAAGGTCAAGGTCAAGGTAAACTTTATTATCCCAGAGGGGCAATTTGCTTTACAGCCAGCAGTGAATCTGAAATACACACAACAATAAATTACACACACCAAAGAGGGGGTGGGGGGGGTTTACATTATATTGACAAGACAGTTCAGCATGTGACGGCAGAAGCTGGAGATCGAACCCCCAGACTTCCAGTGAAGAGATAATAGACCACTGACCACTGAGTCACAGACAAAAATGGGAGATTCTGATCTTCTACACTTGTGAACGATAATTTACTGGTTCTGTGAAAATTATAAAAAAGAGTTAGATTAGATCCAATTCAGTACAACAAAAGCATATTAGTTTGTATTTTGTTCTTTGTTTCAATATTGTACACTGTTTTTCTTTCTGCGTAATAATGTTTGAATAAAAATAAATATTCTAATTAGAGAGGGGCATTTAAATCAAAATGTGTCCTTGGGCTATATTGAGCTCCATCAGAGAAAGTATAAATAAACTGCATGCAAATGACAGAATGTTTATAATATAAACATCGCACAAAAAGTAAAGAAATTTGTGTTTGGTAGATTATTTCTTTGATGTAACAATGCTTCTTGGCAATAAATCTTATACATCACCTCGCATATAAAAGTTGTTTAATTGAGGGACCAGAGAAAAGAAGAATAACATACTGTACTCACTGCTTAATTGAACGTCACGTAAGCGTTTCTAGATCACGGTCATTTCGTGTAAATTTACATGCAGTGTGAAGATACGAGCATAATAAAGTGCGCTAGCATTAGCATGCTAACACAACAATGCAGCGCGAGTTGTTTTGGTTTCATGCTGGTGCTCAAGGGCGACATCTGCTGGATCAAAAAATCGCACATCCTTCCTTTAAATGCTGCCACATTTGTAAGGAACATGCATTTGTGGGATGAGCAGCAGAGCTGAGCAGTCTTCTTGGGGCCCCCACTTCGCAGCCTGTCTCTGACATCCCCCGTGAAATGGAACTTGGTCTTCAGATGGTACTAGGCTCACTCCAAATAAAGCTGCAACTTGGTTGTGCGGAACACCAGCTTGAAGTAGCCCTATGGCACGGGCCCTATCCAGATCAGCCAAACGTGGCATGCTTGAGGCAGACACCAACTGACCACCATGCTCACAGGTGCTGCCAATCAGGCTCCTGATTGTCAGGACCTGGGGTATCAGAAGCTAAAAACAAGAGTCAATAGCAACAGCAGAATAAACTGTTTGTTCTTTGTTTGTTCAGGTCATACTGCACAATCATGTTACACTTCACATCAAATGATTGACAAGGTTTTTTTTTACACCTTAAGAAAGAGGCCAGACATTAAGGTCTTAACTCTTAAGTGTTAAATCTTGTAACAAATGTGCCTGGTTGAAAACAAAAGACTTCCTGTTAGAGTTTGTCAACGTAACAGGAAAGATAGCTAGCTGTTAAGTTAAATTACAGACCCTTTGCCTTCCGCCAACTTCCCCTCGTGCACAACCACTTCAGTGGATGGTGTGGTGTGACGTGATGGGACTAACAGATGACCTCATGACTAGGCTGTGTTAAGTGATTGGTACTTATCTCTTATCAGTGTGGAATGAGAGCTTGGAGGGGATCTTCTCATAACCCATGACCTCAATTCATGTCTCCCAAAGCAACGCTCTGGTGTCTGTTTGAGAATGTGTGACGGGATAGGTGGATACTGATGGATACAAAGCAACCTCTGCCATCAGTGTGTGAATGTGACATTAGTAAAAAGCGCTTCGAGTAGTCAGAAAACTAGAAAAGCGCTAAACAAAATCAAGTCCATTTACCATTCCAAGTCCAATTATATTTGACTTTGTATCTTTTAGTGTGGACTCTTTGAGACTGTCTCGAAGAGTCTTCTTTTATACAATGACAAAAGTGCCAATTTTACTTACTCACTTAACAATGAGGACTCTATAAGACCTTTTATTACAGCAAGCCTGACCATCAGCACGAGGAGTGAACATTTACATTAACTAATTCTTATAGCCTTTAACTGTTGAGTCGATTAACTGCAGGCTGACTTACAAATCTTTTTCACATCAAAGATAATATTCAATTACAACCTGAAACTCACTCATGTAATATTGTTTAAAGGTCACATATTGTGCAAAATACACTTTAACATGTTTCTGAAAAATAATGTGTGTCCAAGGCAGGTCTACCCCCCTCCCCCCCAATTTAGGAGAAAAGTCAATCCTCTCCTTAAACATGTTCCCTCTGTGACATCACAAAGGGCAGTAACCTCTCCCCCAGGCAACACTTCCACAGCTAGGTGTTCATTCTGCTCTCCGAGTCTGCCTTCTTACCGTAAACAATTGGGCATGGTCAAAGGCTGGAGCCACCTCCGCTTCCAGGGGGGCATGGTCTAAACAGATCCTTTGCATTTAAAGCCATAGACACAGAAACAGCCTGTTCTGAGCAGGGCTGAAATCGAGTGGTTTGTATGCATTCCAAAATATAGGTTCTCAGAGGATTATTAGCAAGAAACTTCAAAGATATGTTTTGGGGAGCTCTGAGACTTATTGAAACTTGTTGAAAAGGAGTACAGTATGTGACCTTTAAATTAAGGAGCTGTAAAAATGTTCAAAATGTGCAAGCAGACAGCTAGCATTATCCCAGGTCAGTCAAAGCAGACCAGTCCTTAAGTATGCATTACCGTACTGTAAAAATGAAAAAGGGATTGGCTGATAAGCTGCCTGTCTTGATAATGTTTCTGAACACTTTTTGGCAATTTTTCAAAGTGAACATAGAAAAGCTGACATTATTTAACTGAAGCAGCCCATATTTTGAAGTCATGTGGCAGTACAAAGTGTAATTTGACCAGAAAAGTTTTTGTATTGCCACAGACAAAAAGCTTCAACAAAACAGACTACTTTTTAGTATAAAAGTGTAATGTAGCTAAATAGGTACTGTTTATTATTTTAACCTCACTCTACAAAAACAAATACACACAGGACTGTCTGGCAGGGCTGAGTTGTAAGTGGAGGAGTAATCCGTCTCGCAGTGACAGGCGATGCTTCTGGGACTGGTGTCCACACTGTGGCGGCTGTAGCGTCACTAATGGGATTCAACCCTACACAACACTGCAACCCCACTGGTGCAGTCAATCTCTCAAGATGAAGACTCTCTCACATGTCAGCTCTATTATTAACACAGTGATGCAGGTGTCATGTTATACTGACATGCCTTCATACTCACACAAAAGCTCAGTCAGATGTTTAAATAGCATCTGTGATGTCAAATGTTCTGAACAAAAACCACAATTATCTTTTCTACCTTTCACCCGCCCACTTCTTGTTGTTTTTTCAAACTATTTGCACTGAGCTATCTGTCACAAGCACAATGTTAACATTGAAAACAACTGAGATTATATGGATTTAAAAATAAAATGATAAATGCAGTGTATTTTCATTTATATCAAATACAATTTCAATCAAACAATTATACTTTAAATGATATCTGTCTTAAAATCCTTCTCTGATTTCAATCTTACCGACTTCTACCACACAGTGGGTCCAGCACACACGGAGAAGTAGAGACAATATATGGAGAGAGAACAGGAAGTGTGACACTTTGCATCATAAACTTTACAAATACTTGGCTTGGCTTGCAAAGGTGTCGTCATTCATTTATAACAATGTTCAAAGTTATGTTTAGTTTGCACCACCAGCCCAGTGACACAAACGTCTGATAAGACAAAAGTTCACCATCTTTAACTGCCCGTTACTCACTTCACTGTGTGTGCTGCCCCTAAAAGTGAACAATCAGCAGCACATCCGCTCTGTTAACGGTGAGTGTATGTGCCCACAGTGAGCCAATGCAGCTGATGTGCTGCTGTGTTGTAAATTAGCACCTGCTATAAACACTATGATACTTGCATTGGATTGCTGTTTTCAGTTTGTCTATGTATATTGTTTCTGTCCCTATCAAATAAACCATCAAACAAATTAAATATAGGGCTGTGTAAGTAATCAAGTTTCAAGTTTGTTATATTTTGGCCACAGAGTGTTCGATAAATGCATGTGATGCAGATGTTGTGAAATCAATCAGTAATCACGTCTAATAATCGTGATCTCAATTTAAAAAAACATGATTAGGATTTTTGCCATAATTGAGCAGCCCTATGGCCTAAGCTGTAAGCAGGAATACTCATATTTTAAATCGGCCTTTGTAAACGAGCGTCGGCCTCGAGCGTCATACTAGGATAGGTGACAGCAGCAGCGTTTCCTGTATGTTCTACATTTAACAAGCAGGAGCAATATCTACCCTGCGTGAAGGTCAGTTCAGTGACCACTGAAGGTGATCTCAGACGGACTAAACTAGTCAGAAAACAAGAAAAGTGTTGGTTGTTGTTTTTTTTTTTTATCTAAAAGAAGCAAAGTGGCATGATGTGCTTCAGGTCACACGATTGCCGTTCCATGTCCTGTAAGGCTCCTGGAGAGAGCAGGAAGGAGAAGGGGAAGAGGAAGGAAAAGGAGCGTCTGGTAAACACTACAATACAACATAATTAAGGTCTTTACTGAGATGATTTAACCTACAAACAAGATCCTTAGCAAGAAGTCTGACCATTGTTATATAGAACTTTGGTGCCAGACGAGGCGATATGTCACACAACACTCCTTCAGAAGGTTCAGGACAAGATCAGCAAGGAGATCAAATTCAACGTTTTGTTTGTAAGTTGTTCTTGGTGACCCAAACAGCTAATAAAAGTTCTTCACATGAGCTTTAAGTTGATTATACTTCTTATAAGAGAAGCTGTTTACCCACCAGACTTATACACTTCTCTAATAAAACATTCAAGACTCTCTCTTTTTTACTGACTTGCCTGCTAATCTGGTCATTTACAACGTGAACAGTTCTGCTAGTTACTGAACTTTAGCTTAGCAATGGCCTCTCTCTCTCTCTCTCTCTCTCTCACACACACACACTCTAGTTCTCTCCTACTCCATGTTATAAATGTTTAGCAATTCCTCAGTCACATTAACATCCCATGCAAGTCACCCTTTAACACAGCTCATCTGGGTCTCGCACTGATTGCAGGGCCTTAGGACTGTGTCGTCCCTCAACCACCGCTGGACGCCCAGCCACCACCATCGGACTGTGTCGTCCCCTAAACCATCGCCTTCCTCATTCAAGCTCACAGGTCCTGCCAATCAGGCACCTGATTGTCAGGACCTGGGGTATCCGAAGCTAAAAACAAGAGTCAATAGCAACAGCAGAATAAGCTGTTTGTTCAGTGTTAAATCTTGTAACAAATGTGCCTGGTTGAAAACAAAAGCCTTCCTGTTAGAGAACTGAACCACTTCAGTGGATGGTGTGGTGTGACGTGATGGGACTAACAGATGACCTCATGACTAGGCTAAACCATCGCCTTCCTCATTCACGCACGGCCTTCTCCGACCTCCACCTCAGCGGCAAGGAAGTGTGGACAATAAGAGGCTTATTGCTGCTACTTTTATTCCATTATTAGATTAAGGCGATGTACTGTACATGAATGCTGGATGCTACTTATCATTGTGCGTTAAGATTCATTACCGGCTGTAAATCGCTCACCCATCATTGCACCCTGTGCTCTAAAGTAGGTTGGCTGTCCCTGTCAGCTTGTAGATTTCTTCACTGGTACATCTTCATTTATAAAGCAATTACGGGACTACTCCGTTCATACCTCTCTACCCACCTCACTTTCAAATCAAATCCATCATACAGTTTGCGCTATCTACGTCAGTCCCCAGAACTCGTACTGAGATTGGGAAGAGGGCCTTCATGTGCTCTGCTCCCTCCGCATGGAACAGTATTAAAAAAAACACTGAAATTGCAGAAACTCATCACTATTAATGATTTTAAAACTCGGCTCACAAGTTTTTTTAATGGCTAATTTTGGAGTGTGTAAATGTTTCACTGCAGAGTATTTTATCATCATCACGTAATTGTTCTGTGTTTTGTGGTGCACTGTTGTGTTTTGTTTTTGTTTAACATGATCTCATCCCCCTCTTCTTCTCCTCTTCTTCTTCTTCTTCTTCACCTTCTGGACTGTGTTTGTCTCTTTTTCTCATGTCTGTGCTTTCTTTTTAGGTTTGTCTTATATTTCGGTTTTTTTTCTGCTGCCATTTTGGCCGGGCCTTGCTCAAAAAAGAGGTCATTTGATCTCAAGCAATTCTTGCCTGGTAAAATAAAGGTTAAATAAAAAATAAAATAAGTGGACAACAGGAACGTAGGAATGCAAAGGAGAAATCCTTCCTGCATATTATCTCATATGCTCTTTTGTAAAGCGTCTCGAGATAACACTCTGTTATAAATTAAGGCTATACAAATAATGATGAGTGATTGATTGATTGATTAGGGGAAAAGAGAGGTTCAGTGTCCTATATAGCCTAAGGACACTACAACTTGTTTAATATCATGTCCCTTGATTTTTATTTTTTACAATTATGAGGTCATAAATGTAATTTATTCAAATGTTTTGACTAGTTAACTCACTGGCATTTTTTTGTCTTAACACTGGTATAACTAATGACATTCCCTAAAGCCCCTGCTGTATTTGGGTTTTTGTAATAATTAGGAAACATCTGCATGCTCTCATAATGAAGTGAGATTTTAAACATGGTAATCATGATTTGAGTCAAGAATACTAATTCATTCTGTAAATTGAACCTTCTGGCGGTTTTCATTGACAGACAAATATGACTTTCTATGGAAATGTAATAACCTTTTTAGTCTAACTTCTCATGTCATTAGTGTCGGGAGAAACTTAAATTCACTTTTTAAGAAAAGACTGATATCTATTCATTTGTCATTGGTGCACCCCTCACCTTCTTTAAGCTGCAGCAGTACAGTACTGTCAGTGGGATCACTGCAGAAGTAGCCTCCGCCATGGTCGTCCCAGAAGAGCACATCCTGTCTGAGCTGCAGCTCCTCTGCCCACTGCAACCACTCCGTTTGCAGCGTGGCCTCATACAGGTCGAGCAAGCCACAGATGATGAACGCATAGTCATCCAGGAAGCCAGATATAGGTGGAAATCTAGAAAACACAGGGGAATGGAAATCATGTTTTCTCTTAGGAATTCATTGCTAAAGCACAGAGTATGTTACGACCATTTTCTCTTGGCAAATCAGTTCTTCCTCTATTCATCTGGCTTTGTCTATCCCAGACCTATTTTTATTTCCCAAGGTTTAATAATGTTAATGTTTATTGTGAATCCAATGGGGAAAAATTAATTTGAAAAAAATCCCAAGTGCTATGACCCAGCTCGTAAGGGAAACAACACTGTGGCCCCCCCAAAAAAGCTTTATTCATAGTTTACAACAACAGAAGTTTGAGGAAACAGCGTACAAATTAGAGTAGGGGGGGTTTGAGCCTTTGCCAAACCAACCATTAGTCGACACATTCTGAAGGGTGATCTGTTATTAAACTGAAACAAACAGCTCGAATACACTTTAGAAAAAAAACACAAATCTCTTGGTGGTCTTTTGAGTGTGGAGCCTTGTAGTTCTCTTGTTCTGGGTCACTTACTGCCCCCATGTGGTTGGAAACCAGAAAACAACCAAGACAACCGCAGAACGTAAGAACTGCAGAACTGGAGGTGAGCCAATCCTGCTTTGAAGAGCAAACAGGGGGCACGCTAAGGTGACTTTAACTCTTAGTAAGAACTGCTTTACACAACACAAAAGAATGATTGGGACTTACTTTCTTGGAATATGAAAGTCTGGTTAACTTCCCCACTTCTGAAATAGGGTAGAAGTATCCCCCCCCCGAAAAAAAAAAAGATTTATCTGGTTTATCAGAACTTAGGTGGTATTTTTCAAGTCTTTGGCATTGTTATGAAAATGTAATTCTAACTGCCATGTATCTAATTATAATTAAATGAAAATGTCAATTTCCTCTCCACTATAATACAGTTAGTTTGAGACAGACTTCTAGTTAAATACATTTCTTAATTACTTTCTTCGGTATTCTTTCCTCCCCCAACACTTCTTGCCCACAATGCATCACATTGTCCCTTCTCTCGCACTCAACATGTTTTCCAGCTGAGGTGACTCCAGCCTCAGAGATGACATTTGAGACAAGACCTCAAGAGGGCTTCACTAACACACAAATACAAAAACACAAGAAGTTTTCAGGAGGCTTTAAAGCCTTTTCGTTCGACCCTTGACGTAGTGAGTGAAAAGGAGTCCCTGGTAACAAAGATAAAACATGCTTATCATATCAAAGTACTCGAGATTATTCTAGAATAACACCTTTATAATCATTCTCTCATACACCAGCTACATCCTGTCCCTATGAAAAATGACAAGAGGAGGACAGGAACCGATTGAAGCAATAGGGATCAAGTAATACATCGCGGCCAACCTTTTTTAACAGAAGTGATCTTTATGTTTAAGTCTCCGTGAAACAGAACTTCAAGTGTATCTAAATGCCGTGTCAGGACGTATTACTTACTGAAACAAGGATAGAACCAATCAAAAGAGAGAAGGCGGGACATAATGTTGGGATGAATTTGATTATTTTGTTAGCTTTGACAAAGCTTATCTCAAAAATGTGACAATGTCCATGAGTGCAGGATGAGTCATGAGACATTTGAAGCATATCACAGGAAGAGAAAGTACAGCGATGATGCTTTATTGTAATATATTTGGCAGATAAGTGAACATGTAACACAGGAACGCTTTAAAACTAAAATAACATTTAATCTCTTGTCATGCCTGACCATTATTTATGTAAAAACTCATAATAACGATGGAGAGGAAACCAACTGGAGGGGTGACATTTTTGTGTTTGACAATATTCATCAAGAAACTTTTAAAGGTTTGTGTGCCTGTAACGATCCAGCGCACTTGAAATCCAAACCCCATAGTCATATTTAACCATTTTAAACTACTTTTCTGGACTATTTTCAAACAACTAGATTTCCAACTTTAGCTTGAGAAAACTCTGCCAATGTGCAATAAGCGCTTCTACATGGTGCATGCAGACAGACAGACAGACAGACAGGCAGACAGACAGGGCAGACAGACAGACAGACAGACAGACAGACAGCTAATTTATAATTCCATGCGCTCTGAAACAATTAGACCGATGCCTCAAATAATAATAAGGAAACGTCACCAGTGTTGCACTGAGACCTAGCCACTGTCTCTGCAGTCCCCATTGCTAGGCTCCACTCTGGTCCCTGAAGACAGCAGTAAGGGCAATCAATCATCCAGTGCCAGGTAAGGGCCACAGAAAAACAGAAAGGACCAACACCTCCACAGCCTATTAACCCAGTACATTTCTGCACCTACCATTCTTCCTGGTAAATGACATGCATGGATTTACCCATGGATGGAAACAGGTTTGATAAAAGGGCCTTGGTAAGCATTCTCTATGCTGACACCATACTAAATTGGACAATTATGAATTAGACAGGAGTCGTGGAACAAGGCCAAGGAGTGTTGAGGCACATGTGTGAAACTGTTCCTGTGTGTGTATTTTTCTGCTTATTCTGTGCCATTTTGCACTCACTCAATCGCACTAAGTAGGGCAAGCAGTGCTGGCAAACAGAACGAGGACACCTGGAATCATAGTGTACAATGGACAACAAGGTACTGAGTATTAGTGTCTGAATGTCTGAATGTCTGAATGTCTGAATGTCTGAATCCTGCCGCCATCCAATCAGTGGATTTATCATTGTGTTTGTTACTGCTGCATAGGAGGACCAAGTCCATTTCTTATATGTTGTGATCAGGGTTCAGAAATGTGTTCTTACCACAGCTACATCACTGATGGAGGGATACTAATTCAATGGCAATGTTACGTTAATCCAAAACATCAACAAAAACTAGGTTAAGTCAGTACAAAAATACGTTATAGATGATTATACTAGGGGTGGAACAAAATCTGAACATGTTATCCTGTCTCATGTATCGTATCCATGGAAGGGCTGCAAGATTAATCGTAAAAGAAAAGTCACCATAACGATTCAGAAATACATGCACTCTCAATTTTACATGACGGTGATTCACTCTCTCCTATATCTCCATGCATTCAGAACAAGCTGTGCACTCTGCAGTGTTTCCCACACATAGCCAATACACGGGCAGGCTGCCCAGGTACATTTATGGCCTATATTTCAGACCTTTTTTTAATTAACTTTTTATGTATTAATTAAATTGCAGGCCGCATATGAGAGAGAGAGAGAGAGAGATGGTGAGAGAGAGAGAGATGTTGAGAGCGAGAGGTCCGCTGTCCGTTCTTCTGGTTCTTGCTCTGATTGAGGTGCAGCACTCCTGTCATTTCAAACCTGAAGCTTCTCGTGCCTTGGTTTCAATAATGCTTGGAAGTTTTTAAAACTGTACTTTTGTTGTGTTGCACAGAATCCCCTGAAGGCTCAGTTAAGGAAAAATGAAAAGCCGTTTGAAAATTTGTGAGTGAGGTCTATCAATTATTTCCATGTAGCAGAGCATACCAGCTCTCTCTCTTTTTCTCTCTCTCTCGCTTTCATCGTGCAGGCAGGCAGGTGTGACTTTGTCTGTTATCTGTCTTGCCCCCTCTTAAAACAAGAGAGAAAAAGTAACCCAGTAAAAAAAAAAAAAAGATCAGGTCCTCCCTGTATGACCATTGTCACAGAAATACATGTCTGATGAATATATGAGATTTGAAAAAGATGCAAAAAAGGACAAAAAGACTACATCATAGACGTATCGTTTTGCAGAAAAGGCACACATTGGTGCATAAACATTGATCAGAATGCAGTGAAAGAAATGTTTGGTGCCTAAAATTAGCTGGGGGAGACCCCAAGATGCTGTTTTCACTTAAAAGGTTAAAAAATGAAGGATCGTGATCTCAATTCTCAGGGAGAAAAATGGTGATTGAGATTTGAAGATGAGTTTTGAGCCTGAGCTCTTTTTTCTATTTAAACAACAGGAGCGCACAGTGTTAGAATGACAACTGCATCGAGAGGATAACAGGAAAGACATCTGCCCTGCACTCCAAGACATGTTGCAATTGCAGTGCGGTACAAATACATATATCCTGCACAAAATGTCTTTGTGCGGAAATCTGTACTCGAGGGATGTTGGAAAATGTTTGCAGTATTTTGTAGTTCAAGTTATACCAATTACAAATCAGCAGGCCTTGTTTTATCATCTGCCAAAAGAATAACTTCCATTGCCACCGAGGAAATCAGAGAGCAGCAAACACTGGTAAATGCTCATGCACTCTTTTTTTATACAATTGCTATAGATTGTTTAAATGAGGGACCATGTCTCTCCTATTAACCACGGCTTACATCAAATCACCCAAAATGATACAGGAAACACAAACAAAGTGTTCATATCCAGTAATTTGATGTATAATTCAACTAAAAAAATAGCTGATTCAGAAAACAGTGGTAAAATCTCAACGGCCACCCTAAATTCTCTCTCTGCTTACATCTGTTGAACCTCCATCTGGTCGCCACGGTAACAGGATCGGAGGATGGTTTGCCGCTCAGCATCCCACAGGTGCTCCTTTAGGAAGTTGCCAGCCTCTGTCGCCCTCTCCAGCAGGGCCTTGTCCCCCAGCACAGCCCCCACACGAGCATAAGCTGAGAGCATCAGACCTGAGGTAAATTAAGCCAAGAAAAAAGAAGAAAAAGAAATGGTGATTGTGGAGGGATGATTTGATTTCAAAAAGTGATATCAGGTCCACTCTCCCCTGAGGTGCCAATGTGTAGTTCCACAAAAATCTCAGCATAGTTGTTACTCCCACTCTTTGAAGTTACCCTCTTTATTCATTCCTTTTACCCCACACTTGTCTTTCATGTAGTGTATCAAAGTACGCATCCTGTGCTTCAAAGCCATGCAGTGGAGAGCTGGTGATTAATGGAGAGGTTTCTTCATTAGAGACCAGAAAGGGAGTCTTACATTTTATTGGAAAGTTCTCAAGTTTGCAGAGCCTTCACTGACACACTCAGCCCTGTAGAAACATTTGTTATGAATGTGTTTTTATACATGTGGTTTACTTTTTGTTCCTGTAATGAAGCCCATCCTTGCCAATATGCAAGACAAACAATGTTGAGAGGTGTCCATATTATTATTATTATTATTATTATTATTATTATTAATAATAATAATAATAATAATAATACATTCATTTTATATTGACCATATAACAGTTATAGAGAGTGGTAAAGACTTGTGTCTCTAAAGTGATATATGCACATTAGTTACACTGTTTATAACAAAAACCTTTTCTTCTAATGCATCTTCTATTTATCTTTAAATAATGTATTAATATGTTCATAGCTGGACATTTGCTGATGGTTATTTGGTACACGTGCACACACACACACACACACACACACACACACACACACACACACACACACACACAGGTAAATACCAATATATCTATCTATCTATCTATCTACTGTATCTCTAGTATAGGGCTGTCAGCATTAACTAGTTAATCACAATTATTAAGGTCTGAAATCTTTCTTTTTATCTCGCATGCTATTTTGTAGAGGTGGGGGGGGAATCGGTAAGGCACAGTATCGCAATATTTTGCGTGGCGATGTATTAATTCAGGTCAGCCAAGTATCCATATTTTGAATATATTAATAGCAAATATGTTTTTTGATTTTTGAATTGCTGAAGGCGTTGCGCAATTCATTTTGAAAAAGTTGCATTGTTAAAAATGACTGCTCGTACAATACGTCCATACATGTTGGGGTTCAGTTAAGTTAGATTAGATTGAAATACTGGCAGGTCAAATTGTGAGGTTTGACTTTTATCACAGTGTTGGTCAGTCTGTCTGCATCACCATACCATCTGATGTTTATAGAACAAATCTAATGGTACAATTTTTTAAATATCAAAGAATTGAATCTGGTGGCGTACATGACAACAAAAGATCGATGTAGCCCCGTGACATCACTACCAAGAGTGCATTGCAGTAAAAAAAAATGTGTGAATTTTTGTTTTCAAATTTTCTCAAAATGTAGAAATCTAGAGTGTGTGTTTTTTTTTTTTTTTATTGATGCAAAAGATCCCAGTGTTGAATAAACTTAACAATTCAGTAAACGCGTCTTTATATGAGGGGGGTCCCTTTCATAACCACAGGAAGCCAGTCTGAGTTTGTGGAGGTGAAAATTACACTTTATCCCTTTGATTTAGTGACCACAAAATAAATATGACTGCTGTGTAAACTTGTGTGCAAATTGGTCTTTTCTTTACCATTCCAGGAGGCCAACATCTTGGTGTCCAGGTGTGGCCGGAGCCGACTCGTCCTCACCTCTGCCAATTTTGCCCTTGCAGAGGCCAGGAGCTCTTGGACTTTCTCAATGCGGATGCCGAAGTGAGCAGCAGTTAATTCGACTGAATAACGAACGATGAGCACATTCTGGCCCTGTAGCTCCCCATGGGGGTCCTGGAAACATTTAGAGTGCACTCAATCAGAGGCTGTTCACACAAATGAACACTAACTCCCTGGGAAATATGTATATATAAACATTTTAATGTTTTAGTGGACCAACTTTAGCATTTAGGGGCTAAGACCAACTCTTTGAACATAAGATTAATGCTTGTAATCTTCTTTAACCCATGACTGCACTTTCCTGCAGGACTATAGTACTTTATTTATATCGCTGCCATCCTCTGGAATTTTTAACCAACAGTTACATTTTTCTTTTCTTGGTTGTATTGCACTGTCCTGTGTCTTTTTATCTGTTGTATTTTTGTCACATGCTGGAAATCAAATGTCTCTTTCAGGGACAATAAAGGTCTAAACTGGGTAAGGTAAGTGACGGGGGGGGGTGACTTTATTGTATTGTTGGTAGATTGTGTACAGAGAGTAAAGAGTCTGCAGTGCTTCTAGCTGCAAAATGATCTTAATAACTTTAATTACTTTGACAACAAAAGTTCTATATCTGTGTCTGGTTTACCTGATTTTAGATATTTTCATTTATCCACCAACTCTTTTGTTTTGAACTGTAAAGTTACAGTAAAGTTACAGTAAAGTTACAGTAAAGTTACAGTACATGTGCGATGGTAAAAATCACAGATACCTGTTCTGGAGCAACATTGCCTTGCTCCTTCACCCCATAATGGTGCATAAAGATATCGGCCTGTGTGGCAGATCCAGTGGCACCCTCCACCACATCCTGCAACAGTTCCCGAACCTCTGAGGCCGTCCACACACAGAAGGCCCCTTCACGCTTTTCTGGTCCCCCTGACGCTGGTACAGAGTCCGCATCCTCAGCGCTGTAGAAACCTCCACACTGTTTCAGAAAGAAAAAAAAAACAGAAATGGAAAAACAAATGTCATGGTGTGCTGGTATGAAATGAATACAAAAATGTGATGAAATATGTTTAGTAAGGCATATAATGAACAGAATCCAGTTTTCTTAAGTGTCTAAGGGTCTTATGTTTAAGCATCAAACTCATTTTTTTCAGAGTCTTTTAGAGTCTTGCAAAGCACCGGCTGTAATCGGTAAATTTAAACTGATCAACTTGATTGGTATTTCAAGGCACTGTTGTTTTAAAGTTTTGTTTGTAGTACTGTTGTGCTTTTTTTTGTTTTGTGTATCTATTGTTGAGTTCAATGTATTTGAAAGGCCCATCTAGGGACGGGCATTGTTATCTAGCTTAGGATGTAGTGTCAAAGCTGCAGTGAGTGACATCAGTTTACTTGCTCATTAATTGTCCCTATACAAATTAATAATATTTCAGGAGCTTTCTGCAAGTGTGAAAGCCCTTCATGACACAGCTTCATCCAGAGTTGTTATAACAACTAACCAGGTTAGTTTGTTTTGGAGAGAAAGAGCCTCCTGCAGAAACAACAAATCAGCAGTGATTCTACCGACGAAGTGAAGATCAAATGTTACTTCACTCAGCTGATCACTCAAATCCAGGACTTTTAGGATGTCTTTTACTAACTAGTGTGATCAAAAGTTCATCTTCCATGTATTACGCAACTGATTTACTCTGAGTTCATACCTTCTAAACTCTATCTCAGGATCTTTAAAAAAAAAAAAAAGAAGTGTAATCTTTATTTAGTAATGAAGAGAACTGGAAGATGTCCGCCTAGCTATGGGAAGTTCATAGATCTCGTAGCACAAAAGAAACATACAGTGTATAGCAAATTGAACTTGGGGCAATAATTCATGACTGTATAATGACATAATAAATCTTAAGGAATATTAAGATTGCAGGGAGTGTGGTTTTAATTGAATGTCCTGTTTGCTGCTGCGGACACATTAATCAAAAGAAAAAAAAGGGTTGACCCTTAGAGGAGAGCAGGGGGTTTAAGAGGCTATTTATCAGCGGGGTCCCACCCCTTGACCTAGCGGATGTTTAAACACACAAGTACACACACATAGACAAACACACACTCATCTCCTGGTGGAATAACAGCTGTTGGTTGTGAGCAGTGAGTGGAGCTCCAGGCCAAATCTTGTATAAGTCTGTTTAGAAAAACTTTCATTTGCCATTATGCAATTAGAAAAAAGCTATATCAACCTAACCTTAATACACATCCTAACTGCAACATAACTTCTGGGGCTACACGGTTGGAAAAAAACTGACATTACGATAATTATCGCAATTTAAATAAATTGAAAATCAAACCTCAAACCTTGTAAATGCAGTGTGATGGCTTTTTAAAAAAAATATTTTGATAACAAAATGAAGGGGAGTAAATAAACACATATTCAAGAGTGCAACTCAGTTTTCATGTCTTTTATCAGATGATATCAGTTAATCTGAAGCGTTATGATAAATTACCTGGAGCTTCATCTGACTGCATCAACATGTTGTTGAAGAATGACCATCACACCTGGGCCTGCATCAAACAGCTAAAATGTGCACATGAGGAGTGAGAAATAATATCATGCTGCAATAATGATGCCAGAGCAACTTATTGTGCAGCCCTAATGACTTCCATTCTACATAGCTGTAACGCTGGAACACTCTTTGATCTACGTTTTATCTGAGGAAACCAGGTTCCCGATGAGACCCGTGGCTCACAGAGAAGACACCTTCTTTAAACACACAGAAGTCCTAAAATGGCTGCGTATGATTCACCTTGTCACTCAGGTCCCTGGAGACGTAGAGCAAAATGTCCTGAGCTACATCTGCAAAGACCCGCTCGCCTGATACCTGTAGAAGCAGAAAAAAACGTTCAACTGTATCACATCAAAAGAGATAGGTTTGTGTTTAGTTTGATTTTTTTTCGCTGAATGGCTAATATGTTGAGAAAGTAGGACAGGCACCGAATATTAGAGGGATACCATGTCAGATACAAGAAGAAGAACACATACAGTATATATCCACACATACCTGGGATGCATTAATGTAGGCCACAGCCAGCTGAGCCTGATCGTACAACATCTTTTCAAAGTGGGGGACATGCCAGGAGGAATCTGTAGAATACCGATGAAACCCCTGCAGGACCGACATGAAGACAGATGCAGTGTATACTTTCAGACACATGCAGTAGTCTATTTTATTTACTCACTTCACAACAACCAATGTCACATGACTGGCATGACTGCAAAGTGTCATCCATGCATGTGTGAGTAACTTTGCACATACATACTTAGGGCTGCAAATAGGGATGACTTTCATTGTTCCTTAATCTAATGATTATTGTCTGGTTGAACTAAAATATAAATATATAATAATATAATATAATAAAATGATGCCAACAGTGTTAATAAGATGTATGTTGTGATTTCTCTGAGCACCAAATGATATCTGAAAATTTGTTTTCAATTCCATGATGTTACGGACCTGGGACACGTGGTCATGGATGCCCCCTAGCGCCATCATGCGGAGTGTGTGCAAGGCCATCTGAAGTGCCTCAATCCCTTCTGAGGTGGAGCGGTTTACAGACCAGTAAGTCATAAGAAACATCAGATTCACTGGGGAGAGATAAAAAGGGGAAAGGGGGGGGGGGGGGTGGAGAGTAAGATGAAGAGCAGACCACCAGGACCAAACCTGAAACATATGGACTGTGGTTCTTGTTGAGGGTACCTGGTGTAGGAAACTTTGGAGCATCTCTAAAGCCACCATACTCTTCTTCAAAGGAGTGTGCCAACTGTTGGAAGCAACGCTTGGCGATATCCGGGGCCAGGGGAGGACTTTCCCCTGGGTTCGCGTCAACAGCCGTGCCTTTTTTCAAAGCCTCGAGGATCCTCTCTCCACTGGACTCCAAAGCAGTACGGTTATTTTGCCACTGAGGATCATAAGTCACACAATACAGACAGAATCCTACTGTAAAATGATTGCACACAGAAACACAACCCGGTACAAAAATAGCCAAAACATAATTTGTAAAACTGAAATACTGGAAACAGGATTTAAACAAAAAAAAAAAAACCCTCTAAACCTGATTTATTATTCTGGTGAGAACAGTTTTGAGCCCAGGTCGTCTTCCATGGTCTCTGGGGGGGAAGTAGGTTCCTCCAATGAAAGGTCGAAGGTCAGGGGTCAACCACACACTCATGGGCCAGCCTCCACCTCCACTAGTTGCCTGTAAACACGAGCAAAGAAAAGCTATAAGAGAGTAAAGCAAATGAAAATCAAACATAAACACACGCAAACCCACCTGCACAAAGGTCATGTAGACCTTGTCCACATCAGGTCTTTCTTCACGGTCTAATTTGATGCAGACAAAGTTTTCACTAAGGATTTTGCCAATTTCCTCATCCTCGAAAGACTCCCTCTCCATTACATGGCACCAATGGCATGTTGAGTAGCCCACTAATAGTCCAAGCATATATCATTTCCATATGAGGAACAATGATAGTGAATCAGCGTGTATATGAAATGAGCATGCTATGAGACTGGCTTCTTACCAGATAAAAAGATTGGTTTGTCTTCATGCTTTGCTTTGTTAAAAGCATCTTCTCCCCACGGATACCTGAAACATAATGACATTTTTTGTCAGTATGCCTGCATGTCATTTTGAAGAAACGTATGCCTACATCCGAAGTTCAAATGCTCTCACCAGTCAACCGGGTTGTGTGCATGCTGTAGAAGGTAGGGTGACCTCTCCTTTGCTAACCTGTTGGTGTGTCTGTGAGGGCTGGATGATGAACCTTCACCCCCTGATGCCATGCTCATAGAAACAGAAGAGCTGCACACATACATAAAAACAATTGTTTTCACTGACGACCAAGAGAAATCTAAGGCTTCAACAAAGTGTCCAGTGTGCCCTTAGTTAAACCACATGTGCCTATAGGATCAGGAAAACAACATTCAATAACAGACTTCTGCTTACAAACACTTTAAGGTGTTTTTTTTGTTATATTAATTTGAAGGCTATATTTAAATACTTATTATTGTTGATTATTTTTGCTCTGATGAATCGATTTCTCCCTTCTGTAATTTTTCCAAGTGATACTTTTCAGGTTTATGATAAAGCTAATCTCTCTAAATCAATAAATCCATCCATCTATATACAGAACATAAATGTATTACCAATGTGGCTGATGGATATATACTTCTGAAACACCTGCCTTTTTATTCCTGCAATATCTTGAAGGTGTTGCAAGTCGTTAGCCAGAGGACCGACGTACCAAACCCCGTTTGAATATTGCTCTATTTTATGCGGTTTTGCTCGTAGGCAAACTACTGTGCCCTGCTGAATATACTGAACACGGTTTCGGACACTTTAGGTAACTTGGTAAAATACGGCGAAATACATATCACAAATGCATTTCGATTTATAAGTTATCTGCCCACCCACGTCACTACATTTGACCGCATGGGTACCTGAGTTACTGCGCAAACCATTCAGATAAGTAGAGACAGTATTGAACCTTAAGGACTGCGTAGTGGATTATTATCGACGCCGAATTAAGACTCGAGGTGTTTGGACTTTATTGAAAGTGTTAAACTACGAGGACATGTCTTCTGGTGTTGTTAATATCGTGGGGATAATTTTTAGTACGATTAAGTAATGGAGTTTCGCTCATTCCTGCTCACGTTATTAGTCCGGAAGCACGTCCTTAATCGTCATTGCAAATACCATGTGGCGAGCAACATGACACTAAACAGCTTTGGCAAGCAATTCATCGTGTTGCCGAATTAAAATGATACATGTCTGCTGCTTAACAGTGTTACGAGTAGCGTTAGCAATAGCAACCTCTTAGCCGTGGTGGCGTTACCTGGGGTAGTAGGCCGGCTGGAAGTGTAGCAGCGGTGATTTATATCTTGGTAGGTGGGGATTTTGTGTGCGTAACCTACAGATGTTACCTCCTGAGCTCTGCAGTGTACCGTCGGCTCTGAGAAAAGCTGCAGATGAGATGCGTATATACTCCACACGGCTATATTTGGACACCGACCGACGCCATGCCAGCCTTAACATCCTAATCCAACAACTGTAGCCTATTGCTGTGTTATGTGCAATGCTTGTGTTATCGCATTTGTTGACACCAGCCAAGAAAGTACAATGCATGAGGTGAACACTTCATTGCAGTACCAAAAACTCCACGCGTCATGGCGCGACAGCTGTTCAAAGTTTCTCACAACAATCACACTGTTACAAAAAAAAGAAGAAAAAAAATTGAATTTATTTAACCTCATTGAGATTAAGAATCTCATTTACAAGAGTGTCCTGGCCAAGAGAGACAGCAGCACAATAAAGAGTTACAGACATATAAAACACAGAGTTATTACAAACACAGTTTAACATGTCATGAGTCACAGAGCAGAAAGTCATCAGTCAAAGCATCTACAATCAGAAGCATCTTCCTCCAACACCTTCAATCTACTTTTTAAATGATTTAAAGAAACCAGCTCCCCCAGACACAGATCATCCTGCAGGAGATTCCAGGCCGCCAGAGCAGCGTACCTGAAACTCCTTTTTCCCCATTTCAAGACGCACTTTGGGAACAGAAAACAGCAATCATTTTTGTGACTGGGTTGCAGAGCAGAGATTGTGTCTTCCAGCACTTTTCACATGAATACAGTTACACAAGTATGAGGGCAGCAGGTTAAGTAGGCCTATAGCCTTATAAATAAGGACATGCCAATGAGTTTGTCTACGCTTAATATAATGCAGGCCAGCCGACTCGATCATACAGAGTGCAATGATGAGTCAGGCCCCTGAGATTTGTTATAAATCTCAACACACCATGATATACAATATCCAAAGATTTCAGGCACTGAGACGATGCATGTATATATAAAACATCACCATAATCAATCAGGGGCATGAAAGTAGCAGCAACAAGTTGTTTTTTTTGCAGCAAAAGAAAAACAAGATTTGTTTCTGAAGTAAAAACCCAGCCGCACCTCAAGCTTTTTTACAAGTTGCTGAATATGAAGCTTGAAAGACAGAGTATCATCAATTAAGAATCCAAGGTATTTCTAAGATGATACAGACTCAATCACATCACCCTGAGATGTAACAACAGGGGGCAGGTTTAGAGGCCTTTTCTTTGAGTTTGAAAACATCATGAGTTTAGTTTCATCACTGTGTGTAGGTAGTTACAGTTACAATGTCTTGATTCATTTTAACATTTTAAAGACAGACAGAAGGACAGGTCAGAAATTCCATTAATCATTCTAAGATTTGTGAATATTGAGCTTGATAATGGATGGGACAAAGTCGTCACGAGTCACCAAGTCTGAGGCCACTATGTTGACAGGCGTTATGGCTGCTTGCTCTTTCACCCACTGCAGCAGCCTTGGCAGACTCCGTTGTATAACCTTTTTGAGGTTGTCACAAAGGCGAAGGATGTACCTGAGGATCCTCACATCTTCTGGTAGTGTCAAGTTCAAGCCACATACAAAAAAACCTGTGGGTCATAAGAAAGCATTGAAAAAAGCACCTTCTTGCATTGTGTCGTGTACAGAGCCCCTGAAGTCCTGAACAAGAGAATTATAATTATGATCGGCGAAAAGTTCAGTTATCAACAAATCAAGTTTCACTTTAACCTAAGAATATCACACGTGATATTTATGGAAATTAAAATTAAAAAAAACTCTGTTCACGTGTGTATGTGTAGCCTACATGTTAATAAAGTAAATTACAGTACAATTCTATAACTCAAAGAAAACGGGTGCTTAGGAAAACCTACAGAGCCCTGGGAGTCCAAAAAGTAAAAAAAAAAATGTATCTTGTGTGCACAAGATGATTATGTACGTAGCCTACATATTGATACGAGTGTCAATAAGTAAGGTATGCCTGCACTTCAGTCAAATACTTTTCAAAGAACCCGTTTTCTACTAGTTATAGAATTGTACTGTAACTTACTTTATTAACATGTACACATACAAACATGTGAGTTTTTTCATTTTTCTAAGTAGGCCTACACTAAATAATAACCCACAAGTTATTATCTTGTGCCTACAAGATGTATTTGTTTTTACTTTTCGGGGCTCCATAGACGTGTGTTTTGTAGGAACCAAACACATTAAAACAACGACTGCCCAACCCAATGTGCTGAAGGGACAGAGAACACTTACAATTAGAAGGTCTTGATTTCTCTAAAGCCTGGCGAAGCACTGATTCAACTTTTGTTGGGTCCATACTATTGCCATAGAAATATGTGATTTTACTCCATAATTCGATGTGATGAATTGCTGGGTAATCATATGAAACTATGATATTTCTGCCTTTGTCCCAGCATATTTTCAAGGTAGGGACTTCCTGTTGAGACACATTGAAATAGTTGTAATTAAAGTGGTATAAGCTCACAGTATAACTCTAATCATTGATATTAAGATCATGGTTCAGGATACCCTGTTAAGGAAGAGTCTGGTTCCAAACAATGTCTTGATGAATTTGATAAGATGGATGTGGAGACGCTCTTCCATCTCTTTGAAATGGGACAATGCCAAGATGATGATCTCTTTGGGGTGCTTCTCTGCCCAGTCGTGTATGACCTTTAGAACAGTCTGAGTAATGGCAACAATGTGTTGGTTAATAAATATCGAATCAAATTAAGATATTTCTTCTATTGTTGCTCGTTGTTTTTATTGCAGGTTTTTTTTTTCATAAACACATTCAATTTAGTTGAGCATCTGTTTTTTTTTATTGCTCATTCAAATATATTGTATTTTCCCCTTTAATAGTCAAATGTAGGCTATGGTTAAACTTCAAAACACAATTTGAAATCATTTTTGATAGCATCCTTTGTGTATGATAAAGGTCCTGGGATTTTAATTCATACATGTTTGACAAGTGAAGAGAAATGTTGGATTCAATGTCGACCCAGGGACACTTCTGTAGACATGTAGTTGAGGACTGCGCTAAGTAGAGAGGCGACCAATTCTACTTAGCACAAGCTGCCCTGTTATAAAGTAGACTTGAGTAGTATTTTTAACCAATGTGGTACAGGGATGTCCTACAGTCAATACATTTTGTATTATCGTTTTTTTTTTAGAAATGTGGTCATTTATATCTGTATGTTTTTTATTCTATTTTTTTAAACATGCGTCGGGCACAGCGCTTTTTGAAAAGGCGTCATCCTTTTTCCATTCTCCATAGGCTTGTATGTAAAAAAGGAGCTGGCAGTTGAAAAAAGAAGTCAAGTGTGAACACGGCCTATGAGAGGCTTATTTTAGTTGCATTGTGCAATAAATCCTTCCTACTTGTTGTTTTGTGTATGTCATGTTTTATCTCTCTCTCTCTCTCCCTCTCTCTCTCTCTCTCTCTCTCTCTCTCTCTCTCTCCTACACACACACAACACACTCTCTCTTTCAAGTTTCCACCTGTCGAAATATTCTATTCTTTGCCCCGTTGGCAAATTTCTTGCCCGTAGTGGTTCTGTGATATGAGCAAGAATTGGGTCTGGACCTGCTCTGGACATTTTCTCATGATTTCTTTCATGATAAAATTTACCTGACTAGACAAACAATCCACAAATTGTTGACTTCTAAATATTTACTCATGCTGACAAGAAGAATGCATTAGGACAAAGGGATTTTTCCAACTTTACCTCCACATCAGTGCGTGTGTACAGGCCATGATAAAAGAAAAGCCTGGTGGGGTTGGTGTCATTTGGCTTGCGAGCAATCCTCATGTCAAAGTAACGAACACCAGCATCCAGTTGCTTTGCGATGGTCTCCTCCTGTGTTACAAGGAACTACAATAGTCGATCTTTCCCTTATAAATGCATTATGCACTGACACTGAACCAAACTTTACCTGAGTGACCGCCCATCTGTTCACTGTTCGACGGGCACAACAAATCTTGCTTAATATTTTCAGTCTAGCAGGCTCTAATATGGAGGAGTTGATGTCCAAGTCATAGCTCATTGAGTCGTGGCTACCTGGGAATTCACACACACAAACACACACACAGTTATTAAAATTACAATATTACTGTTTTAATAAACCTCACATAGTCTCTGTTAATAAAAACATGTACACGTTCCTCTTGTTTTGTTATCAGGGAAGCTGAGTATTGCATGGACTGCTAAGAAATGTTGTAAAGATGTTCAACAAGTTAAAGAATCCAAACCAGGCACGGCTGGCTATTTCTCTAATGCAGCCACAATGTGCATATTTTTTGCTGAAGACAATACATGTCCAATCAGATGTCCAATCAGTATTGCTGAAGAAAATGTAAATCCTTATTGCTTATAGACTAAGAAAGCTGAGTGTGTACAATGATACACTGTTCCAAAGCAAACACAGGATCTTCCTTGTTCTTCTGCATTTCATGATATGGCGTATAACCTGAGTCAGTCCAAAGACTGTAAAGGAAATACACCCTGCACTTATAGTCTTTGGTGTCATTTTGGCTGTTGACAGCATTGGTGAGCAGTTAGTTTTCATACAAGCAAAGGCATTGACCAAATACAATTCTGAATTGTGACTGTTAGCAGGCTGATGTTAAACAAATGTTAAGTCATAAAAGAGAATACTTACTGAGTGTGTTTTGTTAAGCAAAATGATGATTGTTACTTTATGATATTTATTTATACCTACCAAAAGATTTAATTTCCATACTTTTTTTTTTTTTTACAAATCACAGCTGCTAAGTTTTTTTTTACTTTGCAGCAATGAAACAAGTTGCATTATTTAAGAATCAGAATCAGAATCAGAAATACTTTATTAATCCCAGGGGGAAATTCTGTAATTCAGCCTCATACCTGGTATGGCCAGCATGAAGAGAGACCTGTTGTGAAGTTCAGGTGGTAGTTGTGACATCCAGTCACAGTAGCTCGTCACTTCTCTCCTCCTTTTGCCTTGTTTTGACATTGCCATCTCAAATTCTACACAGAACAAGTCAAAGTCAACCCTTAGCCTCTTGTAATGGAAAAGTATATGTTCTTGCTTATGCATTTAACATGTACGAATTTCTGCTTACACAGTGGAAAAATCAAAAGTAACACGTACACAAAACAACACACGAACATAACTTTCATGAGATAATTATAGGCACGTCTCTATAGGCAGATTAAGACACATCAACGTGAGTCAACCAATGAGAGTGCCCTGCTTTGCGAAGTCTGATATAAATGTCTTGATGTAACCGCTCCCGAGCAGGATTCTGCTATGCACTTGTGACGATAGTCTCCTCTGTATAAGTTTCCTCCTTTTTGTAAAAAGAAACCCTTTTATTCTGATAATAAAATACACAAAGACAAATCTTTGACTTGAGAGCTTTTGTTTAATACAGAAAAATCCACAACACTCTCAACAGTACATTTGTAGCTTACAATAAATAGGCTGTGCATGAGACACGTCTAAAGAAAGTTAAGGTTAAGATAAACACCACTTACCCTTCTAAAGTGATTCCCAGTCTTCGTATTGTTCATTAACTCACATTTGAAATTGCAGAAATGTGAAAAGTAGCAATATTGTCTAGGTTTACAAAGTGAAGATGCGTATTAAAAAGCTACAGGTTTACATAACCAACTTGCACTAGGAAACTGCTGCATTGTTTCAGTTCTGTCATCCAGATGCCCAACAATGAGGAAATCTGAAACTGGTTTTTACTGGAATGTTTGATCAGGGTGATATGGCACCAAGGTGAAACTCCCTCATACCATCAGTGTGCTCAGTAATCCAGTTTCTGTGGTGCACTTATCAGAAACTCCAGAAACTCTATAATCAGTCAAAGAAACTGCAAAGTCGACTCCAAAAGATGGTACAAAATAGTGTTTAACATACAATCAGTATGTTTACAAGTTGGTTCACCAAAAAACAGAACTTTTAGAATACATGTATAAATGTAAATCTCTGAAATCTTACAAAGTTAGACTAACACACCTACATAATGCGATTGAGTGTCAATTTATTCTTGCATGTATATTACTTAATCTGCCCCAAACTTGCTAGGGCTTTCTGCACATGCGCCACATGCTTTGACCAGCAGCATAAATGCATAAAAGCCAGTAAGAAAAGAAGACAAATGTATCTGCATGACGAACCACAGACCACACGTTTTTAGACAGATGAGGAGACACAGTTAATGTAAACATATTAATCGCAACTTTCTGTCTCTCCCCTCTTTGCCTGGTGTTATACTGAGAATGCACCTCACACAATTCAAAATATGGCAGACACAATTTCTACACGTCCGTATATTGCATCCACCCTTAAATTGATTCTACAGACACTTAAGTGGTGAAACAAGTTTGTCAACAACATGTTTGTAGGTCTTACGCAGGCTAATGAAAATGTGTATACTACAGACTCTACAGAACTAGTAGACTGAGATATCAACTTCAGATACTTTGTAATCACAGAACTGGCACCTGAAATAAGGTTCATGCAATTCTCGGCAGGAATGCATTTCTCTGCACAACATCTGCACTAGCTATGACATTACACGTGATACTGATGTGTCAGCTGAAAAAAAAGGAGACCAACGCGATCAGCAGTCTCGTCTCATCTTGTCGTTAGGGCGTGTTCACACTTGACTTCTTTTTTCAGAAAAAAGCGCTGTGCTCGTGTGAGTGTTCTGTAACCTTAACAACAGGATCCAGTCTGCGGTGCAACCGTGCCGGAGCTGGCCGGAGCACAACACATCAATTTAGCACAGAAAAGAACAAACGGGACGGGAAGTCAGACACCGATACAACATTAAAACATCTGGTTTATTTTCGGAATAAAAATCTCTGTTTATACAGTTCAGAAAAATAATAATAATAATAATAATACATTTTATTTAAAGGCACCTTTCAAAACTCTCAAGGTCACCTTACAGAGCAGAGATAAAAAAAACAACAAGGTACACAACAAAAATAACATTAAAAAACACAAATGTACAGGATGTAAAGGAGTTATGAGAACGGGTGGAGAATGATCAGACTGAATGATCATTCAAAATGGCTGTTTATGTGTTCATAAGGTTTGTATTGACTTTTATACCACGAACATCGTATTATCTCGTGCTGTCGCGAGTGAATCCGTAAAATGACCGCGGAAATTCCTTTGTCTCCGTACTCCAGCTGTCTGGCTGTGCTCTCCGTGCTGCAAACTGAGAACACATCCGGTGGGTGTTGACTGATGAGGATGCACAGTACTGTAACAGACCGGAGCGGACACGCAATGCACACATATCTGGTGGAAGTTTGCCGTTTTTGGGCACAGGTAACTAGGGACGTAGGTTACTACTCGTCCTGATTGTTCAGCTGTCAGAAAAGCGCTTGACGTCACCCAGCGCTTTTCTGAAAAGTTGAAATAATTCAACTGAAAAAGGCGTCGGGTGCAGCGCTTTTTGAAAAGGCGTCATACTTTTTCATTTTTCCAGTGTGAACACGGCCGTAGGAGCAAATGAGGTCAGTTGGTAGAGTTGTCGCCTCTCAACCGGAAGGTTGAGGGTTTGATCCCCAGCTCCTGCAGCAACAGGTCCTTGTGTCCTTGGGCAAAACACTTAACCCCGAATTGCTCCCGCTGCTTCATCGGCGGCGTATGAATGTGTATGAATGGGATCAGTTACTTCTGATGGTTTCACTACATAGTAACTACTGCCTTCAGTGTGTGAATGTGTAGGTGTAAAAGTGCTTTAATTAGTCAGAAGACTAAGTGCTATAAGCTCAAGTCCATTTACCATTTATTTTAGTTGGAAAAAGAAAACTCAAGAAACGAAAATGACATAAACGGAATCCAAATTTAACCAAAGTTAAATGTTAGATATATCATTTTTTCAAATTAACGTCCATGTTAAAAAAATAAAAAAAATAAAAATGATAGCAATAATTAACGTCTATCTGAGTCTTTCCCAGGTGCTTGTATACTGGTACAGGGACAGTAGTCCAATTATACGTCCTACTGGAGATATAACCAAATCTCTATTTAACTAGAGAGGTCACGAGCCAATCACATGGCTAGAATAATGAGATAAATAACTGGTCACCCTCATATTCACATCTACTGGCAATTTAGAGTCACTCAATAACCTACTGCGCATGTCTGACTGTAGGAGAGGAAGCTGCATAACAGGAAGGAACCCATGCATGGACGGGTATGGCTGGGGATTCCAACAAGAAACCTCCTTGCTGTGAGGTGCAGGGTGATAGACAGAGCACTGATGGGCAGTCCCACATATTACATTTTATGTACTTATTTAATTGCAGGTCTCATGTGGTCTCTTTTTAAAACAGTGTTTTCTGTTACATGACTTTTATATCAAGGTCTTAACCAAAAACATGAACAAAAAACAAGTGCACACACTACTGCAGCTAGTATGACACAGAAGGACATTGTCACAAGGTCTTTGTTCTTCTGCAGAAAAAACATCCACATAATCTTTAAAAAATATGAAAATATATACATACATATACAAACATATAATTGCATTTAAAAGAATACTATAGCGATAAAAAAAGGCAATATTTACAAAGAAATTACGAAACAGAATTTTTTTTTCTGAAGTGTCACTCAGTTTCCAAAAACTTTCCTTTACCCACACACAGAAAAGACTCAATTTACTAAAATAATTGAGAGATTACATTGCAAACCAATGCCACACTTGTTCAGTATCTCAACAAAGGCTACAGGCAAGCTCATGGATTGAACAAAGCATTTCTCTGTGTTCTAATGACCAATAAAACATCGACTAACATTTGTTTAATAATGAGAACGAAGCCCTACCATTGTGCATTGTCAAAGACAACAGCTAAAGTTCAACTGTTCCACACATGCGTTTGCATATAAAATACATACAGAGGTCCAGTGGGTTCTTCTAACCCGTGGGAGAATAGGCTCTTTTAATAAGTTTTCAAGTTTGGGCACATGTTTATTCTTGCTCAGTCTCTGATGGCTCAGAGATCCAAGCCTTCCTCTTTACTGGGACTCCATTGCTAATGTCCCTTCTCACCCCCTGGTCACTCCTTGGTCTGCTGTTTGTGAGTGCTACATTTTCTCTTCCATTGCCACATGTAGCCACTCCGCCTTGGGTCAGAAAAATCCTCTGAACTGCATCCGCTGAATGAGAACTCCCAGAATGCCAAGCCCTTCTTCGATGGAACCCATCAAATCCAAGACAACCTGCAGTATGCAAACCACAGTTTCCAGGAGCATCCTCGGCAGCTTCAAACGTATGGCGGTTGCTCGATCCCTGAGGCTGATATGGTGCCGATTCAGACTCAGAGTAGGCACTACGTGTACGGGGAAACATGCAGGTAGATGCAGAGGGGTTGAGAATTTTAGAGGGAGTGAAAGGATATGCTGATGGCAGGGAGACTCTTGATTTTGAGTAAAAAAAACCTGTCCTCCTGTGTCTAACTTCTTCTGTTTTTCTGCTTTCTCCTTCAAGATCATTAGGGTTTGCTGACTCTCTGTATATATCTGATCTTTCGAGCTTGTAACTGATCGACCTCTTTCTTCTTCTAGTTTGAGCCTCTTCCAATTTTATTTCAAGATCGTGAATATCCTCAGTAATCTGATTGACCTGATCAAAACGAAATAGCAGTGAACTGACACCGGGCAGCAGACGGTCAAGGTAGGGCTGGATGTCAATCCCAGACTCAGACACTGAAGAGTCCTCTGACCTCACAGAGAGAGCTGAGGACAGGGCACGGTGGGATGAAAATGAGGAGCTAATGGAAGGAGAGTGGTGACAGGAATAAGAGGGAGACACAGGAGAGGGACAGGATTCCTGTGAGGACCTCGAAGGTGGCAAGTCCATACCTTCAAACTTTACCCTGTGTCTGAACTAGAAAAGAAAAAACAGTATGTAGAGTCAGAAACATTGAATCTAAAAATTCTAATTTCTACAAACAAATGCACCAAAAATAATGCACTACCTACTTCTTTGGCTTTAATGAGTCCCATCCACAACTTGAGTCGCTTGATGAAGAACTCCACCATCTCATAGTCCTGAGGTTCAGTGGTTGGTCGGTACAACTCAGCCCGCTCTCTCCTGAAGGACAGAAAAAAACGAATTGTTGGGCTTCTGGGCAATTTTTGTTTTACTTTTGTAGCAGTGTTCCAGTAGCAAAGTTCTGTGAATAAGGCAAGTTCATTTGCAAAATTATGATCATTTGAGTCTGTTTGTCTGATGTATTTTCAAGAATGGGATGGGATCGAATGAAAACGGGCATTTTAAAAGAAAAGAAAAATCTGAAATGTCATCAAATAATTAATTTTGGCTTTAAATTCCAATCGACCCTGAATATTTGGCAAAAAAAAAATCAAAATTAGTATAATCAGATGGGTTGGTGCCATGATCTCTTGTTCAGTACACTCTTCAAAAATGTTTGTTCATTATCCCTTTTTTTCATTTTGCAGTCAGAAAATATGGTGCTCATTATAGAATACAATAGCACTGAGATCTGTCTATAGGAGTGTTCAGTTATTGCTTCATCTACTGAGTGTTAGAACTCTCTATTGCAGCAGGAGAACAT